TACAGTGGGATGTGAACAACAGAGTTCTTGTTTTATGGACTAAACTTTCACATTAGCCGTCCTCCTCAAAATCGATTGAACTGTACATCACTACTTTGTACTGCCTTCTTAACTTGTTACCCTAAAAATAGTCAATGCATCTCAACCCATTGGTTAGGCATGCAGGACGACAGTATCCTATGGTAACAGAAACACAAGATACGTACSGTACCCATCACAATTTACTGGCCCCATYRTTCCTGCATCAATCGATCGTACTCTGGACGATAGCGAAAGAGCGCTGGGTMCTGTTGCATCAGCTTCTTTCGACGTAAGAAAAGAGGAAGTCGTAAGAACAGATTAAACGGCGTCTTGCGAAGCGCCAATCAAACAGGGCACGGCACGTCAATAACCAAATGGAGGACATCGGCGAAGGSGAGGGCGACATCGACACCACGGTCGACATCGACCACGGCGTTGATGTCAGCGACAACGTCTACGCTGTCGCAAATGAAAACGAATTCAAGAAYGTCCCAGGCGGTAGTGGCGAGGTCGACCACCACACTGGTATTGCAATGATATCCGACTCAGGTAMGTGGAAAGCARACCAGCTTCGGGACGACACGAACGCAAAGCACCGCAGACAAATAGCAYAATGCAAAGCGCACCACGTACAGCGGACGTTGTTGGTTGTCTCCCGTAGCGATCTCTTCGGGTTTCTCGATGGCATGTGTTCGTTTCCAACAAGAATGTTCTCACACTTTTTGAACCATTTTCAATGAACAATATACTACCACGTGTTGCGTTGAAAGCTGCTCTCGTTGCTSCTGTAGATGTAGGGGACRCATCTACTAGCGACGATCTAGATCTGGGCAAGATCTCGGGTAACGACCACGGCGACACCGCTTTGCTACCGGAGAAAAAGAAGAGAAAAGGAACGAAGTCGAAAAAGAAACAGAAACAAAGCAAGAGGTCCAAAAAACCACCGGACGCTCCGAAACGGTTTAAAAGGTATGTACCGCAACTGACATMGCAGTATTTTCTTTTGTATTCTCGGTTGTGGATCCAACTTTATGAAAAAGAAACAACSAAACAAATCCTCTGTCTACAATTCTCTTCCTGTTCCTATTTGCGGTCATCTGGATTTTATCGTTGCATGCTTATTTGCCGATATTCTGCGTGGTTGCCTCATACCATTAATCGATTTCATTAGCTCCTTTATCTTCTTCTCCATGGAAAAACACAAGGAAATAAAAGAAAAACTGGCCAAGGAAATTGAAAACAAGGTACGCCGCAGACGCTTGAATCCAGATCTTTTCTGTATCCCAGGAACCATCAAACACRCCAACCAWCTCCCTCTTGGAACGTCTTCTTCGCCGTTCGTGCTTTTCATTGTATACTCAATTGGATTCATTGCTTCACATTAATCTCAACTAATGAATCCAAATAATCRTATTATTGCTGCGCCTTCCAAACCAAAAACCTTGATGAAACGCAGACGGTAAATATCACCTCGTTGGTATCAGAGGCATGGAGAACACTGGATCCGTTGGAGAGACACAAATTCGAGGAAATGGCACGGCAAGACAAGGAACGATACGACATCGAGAAAAGCAACTACGTGCCCCCGCCTGGAATGTTTCTCGACTCGAAGAGGAGACGAGATCCGAACGCACCGAAGCGTCCCATGTCCGCCTACCTCTCCTTCGCCAACAAAATTCGTGGTAAGATTAAAGCCGAAAACCCRGGTCGCACGAACGGAGAAATTAGCAAGATATTGAGTTCCATGTGGAAGGGGATGCCAGCTAAGGAGCGAAAGGAATACAAGRACATCGAACAAGCACTCTGGGCAGCTTACAGGAAGAAAATGGTTGAATGGAAGAAGATTAATGACGGGCGAAAGAAGGAAAAAAAGACCGCCAAGGGGGAAGATCTGAAGAAGAAACTAGAGCAATCCGCCATTGGATCTATAGAATTCCCTGGCCATGCCGTAGTTGACAACGACGCGGGCGTTGACGAACAACTACTTTGTCTCGGGGGTGTCCCAGGGATTGACACAAATCCCAATACTGACGAAATGATGGCCGCGTCTGCTCTGCGCGGGGTGCGGGGAGGGCCCCAGCCGCACGTTGGAGCCGGGATGGGTGATCCATCCAACAACAACAACAACAACAACAACAGCAGCAACAACATCAATGGGGGCTATGGTACTTTCTTGGGAGTCAATGCTACTAACGGAATGAATCCAATGCTGGCTGGGGCGCAGGTTCCTGGACAAGGRGCCTTTGGACAAATCGACATGTCGGGCTTTCCGTACAATCAGTACAACTATCATTTGGGTGGCAACACCCATGCCATGATAATGGCCCAGCTTAGGGGAGCTCCTCATCAGCAATATCCTGGCTTCTTGCGTGAGTTTATCCCGTGAAATATCGTGTTATGACTCTGTTGTTTGGTTCTGTTCCGTCACAGCGCCATGTCGCTTACGGCCACTCGCATCACTCACAAACAATTGTTGGGTCATCTTTGCTTTACAGCCATGGACCAACARGCGAACCTCTCGCAACTTGCATCTCTGGCGGGCGTCCAGAACGATGCCACACAGCAACAACAGGGGCAGAATCACATGCACGGATCAATGGATCAAGCGTCTGTTTCGGTTTCAGAAAACGGAATGGACATGGGAATGGGGAACGGGGTCAGAAACCAAACCATGGGGAACAATGCTTTGAACGATGGGTCKAGTGGCAGCATAGCGTTCTAAATGAGAAACCAGGGTGTCATTGGGTAAATCGAATACCAGGTACTGCTGCAGGATCAGAAAACATCGTCGATACCGACCTAAGGTAATTACTACAATATAYCATAACTATAGTATRYTGTGACGGGATTGTATTGCCTGCAAAAGATCAATTCATTGCCCCAAGTATTGTCTAACTGATATGGTTCAAGTCTTCTGCTACACGCAAAGCCTGGGGAACCATTTGCATCTTGCACACCCGGAACATGACAGAACCGTACGGTTTGTGGCTTTCTCCGCATGCTACGAACTAGTGTACGTCGCGAAACATGCCAATAAAATTCATAGATAAATACATACTTCGTTGTGTTCGAATCCAATTGCCTGCGCTTTTTTTAAAAAAGTGTATTTAATTTAAAAAATGAGGACACGCTGGTCCTTTAGCTACGGAATTTCCTGTCGCAAAGTGGCTCGTCCACACCGGTCGGTTTCGAGGACCAGTCCTTGCCAACCCATTGTGCGAATCCATAACGATAGATTGGTGGTGGCAATGGATCGAGTTTTCTGCTCTAGACGCCGTCGACGTCGCCCAGGTCTTCCTCGTCAAAGATTTCCTGCAGTTCGGCCTTGGCCTTCTTCAGGGCGGCCTGTTGCTTTCGTTCCTGTTGTGCCTTGAAATCGAGCAGTTCTGCCTCGACGTCGGGTTCCTCGCCGTTGAGCTGGCGGTATTTCAGGTCCCCCTCAAAGAGRGCCCGGTCCCAGACCGACTCGATGAATTCGGCTTGGGTCAGCTGCTGGTCGACGGTTCCGGCCATCGATCGGGAAAAGAATTCTCGCTTTCCCCACTCGGTGGCAATCTTTTCGACCTCYAGCGTGCGCTCGTCCTTTGTTTCTTCTTCCACTTTGACTTCCTCAGGTCTGCCACCCCGGTCTTTCATCTTGGCTTCGTCGAGCTGGCGAAGGAATTCCGGATCCTCCCACCAGGCATCCGTCATCTTGACGCCCTCTCGCCATCCAGGATTCAATTCGTCGTATTCGTCCAATTCTTTTTGGTAGTTCTGGGAGAASAAAATAAAAAAGACACAAAAAATTCACATGAGACRAGCGATTGGYTGGTTTGTTTTCGGAAATCCCTGGCTCGTCGCAGGCTGCAGACCGCTCAAACTCCGGTACCCCGCGTTCTGCATCGTATATAACGTTACTCACCTTGAATCCGTCTCGAAGGACGTGGTCAATTTCCTGGCACCGAACGTACCCGGCCTCGCGGAGTCCCTTGATGAGCTTGGCTTCGGTCGTGTTCGTGTCGTAGACCTCGGAAAAAGTAAGGGCCTTGCACGATCCCGMATCCAGCTGGAGGGTCTCGGTGATCATGCGCATGGATTCCGCTCGCGAAAAGATGGCGTCTTCTGGGAGAAGGGCGTCCTCGTCGCTCTCCGAGTCGAATTCGGCGTATTTGTAAAAGGTTKTCCCCTCGTCGTGGTCCTTGAGGSTTCCAACCACCARGAGGGTGTACTCCTTTCCGGAGTCCTTGAGCGCCTGTACCGCGGCCGCACGGTCCGMGGCGGRAATGACCTCCCCGGCGGCRTTGGTGACAATGACGGAAACGTTGTCGATGTCCTTCGCGTCCTTGGCCAGRTCGGCAACGGCCTTGAYCTGCGCGACCAGGTCGTTGTCGGAYTCGATCTGGGCCACCCAGGACCGGACGCCCTCGAGCTGGGCAGGAACCGGGAGTGCGCCGGGGGCGGCGGCTTCCTTGAAGTCGAGCTTGTCGAGGAGCCCGGTGTACCGTGCCGAGCGGCTCAGGAGGCGCTTCTTGGCGGACTTCTCGTCGTTGACAAAGGCGACAATCTTCTCRAAAGCAAAGGCGTTTTCTTCGTGGTTGAGGAGGTCAAAGACGAACTGGTCGCTGCGTTCCTTCGAGTTAACGTARCCCGAGACCAGGCAGGTTCCGTCGAGGTTGTCGCGCTGGTCGATGATGTCGGGCTCGTCGAGGTAGGACTGGATGTTCGTGTCGGGGTTCAGGTCCTCGGGAATGGACACCTCGTCCTGGATTTCGAGGCCCATGCCTGCCTTGCCCCACGAGGAGATGTAGAGGCTGGTGCCCGRGTTGGAAGACGAAGATGCCACGGTGCTGCGGTAAGAGGCCGGCATTGGGGCAAAGGCGTAGGCAATCGAGGCCGCGGAGGCCGCGAACACGGTTAGGGCRATACTGGAGAGTTGCATCGTGCTGTGGATTTGTTGCTGGTTTGCGAACTTGGCGCTGGTCCGATGTGTATTTGRACGTGGATGTGTTGCGTTGGGTTGGTTCTGTGTGCTGCCGAAGGATACCGTCGTGTGGGTATGGTTCGGGCGAAGCGAGTTGTGTCGGTTTTCGTTTTAATGACACTGGCGACTGTACCGGTTTCGCAGTCGATCGTCAATCCTTGTCGTGACAACGGGAAACACCAAATGCTCGATCGAGAAAATCGATGCTTTTCAAATATCACACGCATGAAAAACCTACCGTTTCGTACGTACCGTATGGTAGCGTAGCTTTTCGTTGGATTTCCTACCACCTGGTGACATAATCGTGCCTACCGGTACTCGTGCTTGTACGAGTTCGTATGCAGCCGTAGGATCTCCATGTGTCAGGTCGGAAAAGAAAAAGAATGCGATCGAAGAGAAGAAAGAAGTGAGAAGATCGGGGTGTTTTCTGATGATGAGTTGATCCAAACCAGCTGGCAAAAGTTCTTGGGTGGGTTGGCGGGTGACTCGGAAAATTCTGGGGTAGATTTGGATCTTGCGTTTTTCTCCCCCTTATCTCTTGCCGTCAACCCATGGCCGGGTTGATGAGTTGTGAACATACATAATATCTATGCTATATACATACGATTCATATGATACGAAACACCAATACTTCTGATTTTCTGTAGGGCACATAACGTAATCGTACCGTTTCTAATCACGTAGAGTCTTTTTTKGGCGAACCGCGTTCTTTGACGAGTGCGCAGTGCAAATTTTTGGCTTCGTTCCGACAGAACGAAACATCCCACACCATAAGGTACGTACGGTACCGTACGTAGCGCGGTAAGTACACGAGGTCGTATGTCCAAGTAGCAGTAGTACGTACCGGTACTCGTATTCATGCTCCTTATGACGCAGCGAAGGACGGTAAGATTGGTCGTACCGTGGAATGTCATGCCGTACCGTACGTACCGTACAGTACCAGGGGTCATAATTTAGACCCCTGACAGTACCTCGTACCTGAAATAATTTAGAGGAGAGCCATCGTCTGACAGGATTTTGGACTCACAGGACCCAAGTCGAAAACCGTACCTTTCTATGGTGAATCCTACGAAGAGTGCCTCTAGTGTCTTTTTTGAAGCAGTTCTTTCACTCATCCGGACAGTTGATGACAGGGCGAGACTCATCTCTCTATCAAGATCACGACAACGCATGAGTTCGGTTACTGTACTGTGGGAACAATTCGAGAGCACAACACACGACCACGATCCACTTGACCCAGGGTACAAGAGCAATTTTAACCTACAGTACCACATTACCTCTACTATACAACCAATTTTTGGGAATATATGCACTGCTCCTGCTACCGGCGCTGACGCGAAAAAAATCCAACCGCCTAAATCAACTAGATTCAACAGCATCGAATCAAGAAGCAAGCGACATGGCTTCGAACGGTGGGAACCAGAGTTTTATCCCTCTCGAACAGGGATGGAACGAAGAGATAAAGGCGAAGGTGGGTACATCTAGCGAAYCCCGGACCACCGTGCCCCAGGCGCCAATCCGATCCTGTACCGGTGGACRAAGATATTCATTCAGAACGGGATACGAATTATGGACACGGCGTCGTGCTWGGAAKTTTCATGTTTTTCTTTCTTCTYYTCCAGAGAATYGGTCCACAAATGCAATGTTTRGTGTCGAACGCCGAGCACCGTTTTTGCATAGCCCATTGTYGTCTCACACMTCTTGCCGCTATAATCCTCTYTTCACATCACACATCAAACAAAACWAAACTAAAATAGGCCATTGACAAGCTGGAACACCTCCTGAACGGCCAAACGAAATCCAACAGCATCTTCGGCCCGAAGGAATACGTTGCAATTTACACGTGAGTTTCGGTTCTCCATGAAACGAAAGACTGCGACGACGACATCGAAGAGGAMGATTCTCTTCGTCCCTTTGTATGGAAGACCAAACATCAAACTTTTTTCTCTGCCGTGGATTATTCCTGCGATTTCTGCTTTTCTCAATCCAACAATTTGTTTTGTTTTGTGGTTTGCGGCTTGTTTGTCTCTTTCTCTCTTCCAGTACGTGCTATGATATGTGTACACAGCGTGCCCCCTACAACTGGTCCCAGCAACTTTACCAACGACACGGCGAGACCATCGAACAATACCTCAACAACAACGTTCTCCCGGCGCTTTGCGACAAAAAAGGCCAGGGTGGGACCATTCTCTTGATGGAACTCAAACACAGGTGGCAAAAYCACCAAATTATGAATAAGTGGCTAAAGAAGTTCTTCACCTATCTCGATCGATACTACGTCAAGCACCACAGTTTGCCAACCCTGCACCAGGCCGGCTTGCGCTGTTTCCGAACCAACGTCTACGACGAAATCAAGGAAGACACCACYGGAGCCATCCACGGGCTCATCAACGAAGAGCGAGAGGGCAGGATCATCGACAAGAGCCTCGTCAAGAGTGTTGTCGAACTCTACGAAAGCATGGGTATGGGAACCCTCGACGCATACAACGATGATCTAGAACGACCCCTTCTCACTTTTACCCGGGAATATTACGCCAGAAAGCGAGAGGATTGGATCAACGATTCTACGCCGGACTACCTCATCAAGGCAGAGGATGCGCTGGACGAGGAACGAAAGCGTGTCGAGGATTACCTGAACCCCTCGTCCGAAGCCAAGATTCTGAAGGTGGTCGAGGAAGAGATTTTGGAGAAAGTGGAAACTGTTTTGCTGGAAAAAGAGTCCTCCGGGTGCCGCGCCCTATTGCAAAACGACAAATCGGAGGATCTCCAAAGGATGTTCCGTCTTTTTTCGAGACTCGAGAACGGACTCAACCCTATGGCCAACATTTTACAGAGTTTTATCACAGATATGGGAGAAGACATCATCAACCGCCGCAAAGCTCGGCTCGACGGTGGGGAAAAGGATAAGAACGACGATCCTAAGTTTGTCAAGTCGATCATGGCTCTCCACGAGAAATACCTAGAYGTGGTAAAGAAAGACTTTCAGGGGAACTCGCTCTTCCAAAAGGCMTTGAAGGATGCTTTTGTCGAGATTGTCAACAAAAATGTCGGGCAGTTCACAAATGCAGAACTGATGTCTACCTTCTGCGACAGAATCCTCAAGAGTGGCGGCGAAAAACTCAGTGAATCGGAAGTAGAGATCAACCTGGAAAAGATYGTCCAGTTGTTCTCGTACCTGACGGACAAGGACATGTTTGCCGAAATCTATCGAAATCAGCTCGCGAAACGACTTCTTAGCCAGCGATCCACTAGCGACGACGCAGAAAAATTGATGATTGCCAAGCTCAAGATGCAGTGCGGAACGCAGTTCACGTCTAAAATGGAGGGCATGCTGGCGGATCTTGCTGTTGGTAGCGACCAACGATCGGAATTTGAAACCCGGATGCGTTCCGTCGACACTAAACTGGACTTTAGTGTACAAGTGTTGACAACTGGGTTTTGGCCAACGTATAAGAGCCCAGAAATTTCTCTCACGCCGGAAATGACGAAGTGCATCGAGGTCTTTAAAGAATGGCATGACAACAAGCACCAAAAGAGAAAGTTGGGATGGGTTTTTTCTCAAGGAAATGCTTCGGTGCGTGGTGTTTTCAAGAAAACGTACGACATTCAGGTGACAACACTTCAGGCCGTGGCATTGGAAGCCTTTAACGACGGTGTTACGATGACATTTGAAGAATTGTCGCGCATGTTGAACTTGCGAGAAGAYATCTTGAAGCCTTTGATGCATTCTCTCTCGTGCGGGAAATACAAAGTGATCAGGAAAAACCCAGCCAGCAACAAGATCAATGCCACAGACTCATTCACGGCGAACAGAAAGTTTGTTGCGAATCTGCGCAAAATCCGAATTCCTATGGCATCTCTGGACTCGACCATGAACAAAAAGAGGGTGGAGGARGATCGCTCTATTGCTATCGAAGCYGCAATCGTCCGGATYATGAAAGCGCGCAAAACTCTTCAGCACCAGCAACTCATTTCGGAGGTCCTAGCACAGCTGAATTTCTTCAACCCGCGGGCTCGCGTCGTAAAGAAATGCATCGAGAAAYTGATYGAGCGTGAATACCTGGAACGTAGTGCCGACAATTCCCAGGTTTATAACGTAAGTTTGAGACTTTTTGACGCTGAGATGGGACTAAWCTGCGGGGGAATTGCACATGTGGCGGACTCACACCTGATTTTTCTTTCATTGTTGTMCCAATACAGTATCTCGCCTAATCCGGAAAGGAGATCCTACTCGTATGGTCAAATTCGTTGGCACGAATGGTGAAGAGTGATTCTTTWAAAAAATATTGCAGTTTCAACTTACGAAGTAAAGTATCACAGCAGGATTGATTTATCCCTTCGTAGATATTGTTTCATGTGATTATAAGATGCCAGMTACTTTTGCTTACAAGATMTATATAGTTACTTAGGTATTTGATCGCWGCCAAATGGTTGTATACTTGAATTGCGAATCAAGAATTARAAAACCTTGTATGTAATACAGTGGAATGATCCATTTMAACGATAGGGGACGGTCCTACAGTGGTTTTCTGTCAGGAGATTAATWGTTTGGATCTTTCCATATCAACCACTTTATGTCAAATGTACCGAGGCTCACCTTTGAAGGTCGTTCCGATTATTACGTTGCTACGAATGTTTTCGAGTACGTACTGTGATGGTTGAAACTATTCTAGATTGGATACTTGCTTGTACCCGAATCATTTCTTTCGCTACCATACATTCTGATCCTACCTAGGTCCACTGATCGATWAGAGCACAAACCGACCCGTGGCCTGTGTGGCGACTGGATCAATCACTTCCAAAACCATAGATGTTGGAAAAAACTTGGTAATCCCTTTCGGTGCAATCTAGTTCCCCCTTCCCCCACCCACCAAGCGTTTCCCGTTTCAAACGGATGAATCAGTCGCCTCCCTGTGACTCTTGGATTTTCTTCCTTAGGGCCGCGATCTTCTTATCGATGAGAACCCTTTCCTTCGCGGGATTCATAGGCGCAGCATTCGCCTTCGTCCCCGAAGACGAGCCAGGGTCCGCGTGCGATGGTTTCACAACGAGTCGTTTGCGGAGGAGCATTCGTCCATCGAGATTGTCCAAGGCTTTCTGGGCGTTTTCGATCGAGTCGTACTCTACGAAGCAATACCTCCAGCCGGCCGTCGACCCCGGTTTTTGCATAAAGTCCGAGATGCGTTCCAGTCTCCCAAATTTCGAAAATAGTTTTTCCACGTGGATTTTGTTGATAACGGGTGCAAAGCCCGTCACAAAAAGTGATTTTGATGTAGCCAACGTCCTTCCGTGTCGACCAAAGCCGGTCMCCGCTCTCTTCTCAGTTGCATCAACGTTCTGCTTGCCATCTTCGACCCCATCCGCACCACTGGATTCAGAGTTGAGTGTTTTTCCATCGCCATTCTGTTTGTCGTCATCGGTTCCCTCGGCAGGGATGGATACGCTGTTAGGCGTCTTATCGCCCTCTTTTGCATGCGGTTCAAGCATCGTTTGGCAACACTTTCTGATCGTATTCTATCGGACGTCAACGTTAAATCTTCGCTTCGCAACCTGAATGTGACTTGTGGAAAAGGCATGACAAGAAAAAAGACCGACTAATCGTTTTGAAAATTGAAATCAAGGAGAAAAGTTGTAGATAAGTAGAAATCGATGGACAGACGAGCAAACGAAAATTTGACTCAACCAAGACTCAAAAAGACGTTCGAAGTAAAACCTGGGCTCATTTCTTGAGAGAACGAATAGAAAATACTCGTACGAACTCGTACGTGTTTCTGGTGCTGCATAGTACTCGTAGCGGCAAGAGCAGGGGCAATGAGCACGGCATTTGGGGCTACAAACGGTTCGAACTCAAAACAGCAGCACTAGGAGCTAGGAGCACGAGTACTTGGCGCCGTGAYGATACGATTACGGCATCGTGCACAACAAAAAAACGATAAATCGACAAAAACCATTCCTGCAAGAAGAGGAATAATTTCGTTCACAWTTGAGGGTTGACGATACAACCATGATTCGATCGAGATCACACGGAAASTCCTCTTCGAAACAGGAGAAAAACGGATCACGATGGCAAGAAGAGCATACACCACCCGCATGGAACACAAGAGATGGCGGTCCCGTTTCGAACGCAGTACTTTSGACGAAAACCGCGACGATCGTGACACAACTAACGGCGAGATTAGATCGTGCTACAAACTGAATCTCAACGCCCGCGGACATCCATCCAAATGTGCTCTGAAAGACGAAGGTGGGAATGGTAAAGATATCGACGTAGATGATGATGCAGGTACCGATTGTAGCCCGTTAGAGACCGCGATTCGGACGGCTAGGATATTCAATGGGATTGTAGTGGATGACGATGGCATTCTTTTGTCCCGTAGCGAAAGGGCCAATAGAGAAAGTGATTATGCGTTGGGCAAAACGCTGAAGGAAGGACAGTCTAGACAGGCAGTGAAAATCGAACGAATCATACGAGCTTCCGAAACCCGCAGCCCCCGCGGGATTGGAGTAAGAAAGCATCCGAATKTTCCTAGTGACGAAACGGATGACACCGCAGATATAGAACAAAATAATGCGTTACCAAGGTCCCAGCTTCTGGTTGTCCTCGGGGAATATGACGATATCACTCGACTTGTTTCGAAAGGAGCGGAAAAGCTTCGTTSAAGCAAAAGCATTTCTTGGCTTCCTCATTCTGTTTTGAGTCGAACTATCGAGTTTTGCTCCACAAAAGATGCCATGAATCTGTCACAAAGCTGCAAACTTATGCGCCAAACAATCACGACTTGCACCAACTACCAAGCCAAAACGAGGACTCTTCGGAGGGCATTGAAGCAAATGAGCAGTCGAGTCAAAGCACAGACAAATTCCCCGACACAAGGAATATCGAACCAGCGTTTTCCAAACATTGAAGTCAAAACACTTCGGAACACCTCTTTTAAATGGAGTAAACGGGGTCGTCGTGAGAAAAGCAATCAAAGCGCAGTTCGAGACAGGAATAATTAAAATCTGTAGGAAAATTCTAATGTAAATTAAAAAGTCGACCGAATCTCAAGTCTATCTCTATTTCTCAAGTCTATCTCTATTATAGAATTCGTCGGATTGATGTTCAGTCTATTGGAAAAATGTCAAAATGTTCTTTTGCTTAATGCATCGTTGCGATTATCGACTGACCAGCTAAGAGCTAGCCGTCAAGCRRTGGGCTAGCTTGCGGACTTCGGATACAGCCGCAACTAACTCATGTTGGTATTGTTCTCGATGATTTTCGATAGACTCCAAAACTTCACCCGCAAATCTTTGTCCACAAATAACAAGGGCAATGGCGGCTGTTASGATCGCCATGTTTCTGATCGAATCTTTCGTCGGTAGATTTCCTGTGGAATTTTGGCTTTCGTCATCAGATCTATCGGYTCCCGGTGCAGAATCAGCCGCAGTTGCCAACAAATGACTCATGATCTTTCCTCCGTGACTAGGCATAACTGGGTGAGCTGCGAACATCAGGTTGATCAAGGCCACCATCGAAGCCATTTGCGTTTTTCTGCCAACGACGTCACCCCCGGGTTGTTCTGTAAAGCCCATGCTATTTGTGGTCAACGGCAACAATGCAGCGAGCCCCAGCCGACCCATCTCCATACCATCTGCCCCATTTTCTTCATCCAAGGCATGCTGCGATAACGATGGAATCACACCGCCCAATAGTAAATCCAAAGAGTGTCTTTTGGTTCCTGTGGAACGGTGCAACGACCGCTCGAGATTCGCGAGCCACTGTCTGGTTGYAGCTCTTCGTTTTAGGCGGAAGTGGTTGCSCGTTTCCCCCGTTATTGCTTGCTTTCTAACTTCCTCTTTTTTCTCGTTTTCTTGTAATACCATCACATCCAGTAATATTGCCTGCGCTCGACCAATTGCAACCAAGACCCCGGAATCAGAACTTGCCTTACTAGCCTTATCGAGAACWGACAACGCATTMTCTGAAAAGTTTATCCATGCCTTTTCATTGGTGCATGTCGAACCCGGGCCCCTCTTTCGTGGCTGAAGAACTTCGATCACTCGAATGAATCCTGCGGCTCCCAGAACACAACAGAAAGAGCTATGKGAATCGACCAGCGCGGCGCAAATCGGGAAGACGTCATTCAGTATCTGTTCCTCGCAGTGTTTGTCTACACCACCGCTCATACCAGGGAGAAGCAAGAAATAGAAAGCATTCAAAGCAGCCGCAATCCTCGATGGAATTTGTTCGTAAGGTGCTTCATCAAAACCACTTTTCTTTGGCGCTTTGGTAACCCTGCGCCCCATCCGCACCAAAACCGATGGGGCGAAGGAGTCATTGCCTCCGGCAATTTCGTCTGCTCGCAACTTTACGAGTGTTTCCATGCTGTGCATATCTCGGCCAAAGAAATGCGCTCGGGTGTCCCGAAGCATCGGACCAGCACCACCTAGCGTCCTCAGAACAAAGTCTACTTGCCGCCGGTGGCATTTTGGAACGCTAATATCTGCACAAGCAATCTCTTCGTCCTGTTCACGGAACGGGATCTTTGCCTCCCTCGACACCTCCCTCAGTAAGTTTGCAATCGTGTGCCAAGTGCTTCGAACAACTGGGAATGTCATCTTGTTCAAAGTCGGATCGACCCAACCTGCTAAAGATACAGATTTCTTCAAAGAAGATTGCAATTCATTCCAATATTGGTCATCAACATCGTCGTATGCAGACGAGTCATTTCCGAGTGGACCGTCAATGTATCTTCGTACGTCTGTAAAGTCGCTCGATGAATTTTTGCTTTTCGATACATCAAAAACATCGTCAACATCAATAGAACAAGGACAATTGTATCCAACATGCTGGAACATCCGTCTCACAATCACTAARTCTGTGGATTGGCAATCGTCCGAGGACGTCGAKGACGATAAAGATGGCGCCAGCTGATGCGGCGATAGCATGATCGAAGCCGATCGTACCACGCTCTCATCGTCGTCTATTTCTGGAACTTCGAATGCAAGCAACGTCACCGAACATCGTCGGAGGCATTCGTAGCAATCGCTCAAASAGCTTTTTTCGTYGCGTGTTTTTGGGTTGCCGACGGCCTTGTTGGCGACAGTTTTGGTCGCGAACAGGAGACGCATGGTTTCGAGAGTGTTGGCAAGGATTTTTAAAAGGGTTGGTAGTGCGACGTTTCTTCGAAGATCATTTGTTTTGTCGTCATTGGYATTGCGTCCCTCGACATCATACCTCGCGCTAACGGTTAGAAGCGTCACATCGGTGGAAAAAATCTTGATTGCCCTTTGAAGAGTTTGCTGTTGTAGAGAAAATGAAGGAATCACTGGTGTCRACGGGAGGGTGAGGGAAAGACCAATCCCTTTCGGATCATCAGGAAGAGTTGCCAATCTGGACAATATCTTCGAGAAAATCAATTCGTAGTTTTCCAGCAYATATGTGCAATCGGGATGGAACGCAGGRCTTGCATCGGAACCTGTCGAATGGAACACGATAGGACGTACGGATTCTTCGTACCCACGAATCCATTCTAAAATCACACCTGCAATTCCTTCATCGTTGCAAGGAGCTTTATCCAGTGTTAGCAATCGATCTAACCAGAATTGGACTATCGGTGAGGCTGCAGAATCATCTAGCTGTTGTTGTTCCACGTCGTCTGCATCTTCGGACAACACTTGTATGTCTGTTTGTGAACGTTCATCGGAACTAGAGTAATACGACTCTGCAAAAATTTTGACGTGAATATTTTGGCGAAAATGGGCGACGAGCTGTTTCAGTATTTCTCTGGTGTTGAGTGGCGTTGTGTCGATCTTTTTGCCTTTCTCGGTACGGGTTGCGTCTAACATCGTTTTTGTCAGTTTTTTTCGTTGGATCATTGATGGCGTGATCGATTGATCGATTCGTTCACACTCGGCCACTAAAGAAATGCAACAATAAGATACTACAGATTGGTTGTACAAGCTGCTGAAAGTTATCCTKTCTTACACACCAACTTGTGTCTTCCTCCTGCGTTGTTGGCTCGTCTCACCCAAAATCCAATTCGCCGTGTTCAGATCCKGTTTGAAATGTACCGTATTCATTTATTCACAATCGACTATGTTGCACAAAGATAACCAATCTATTGGCTAATCACGCTTCATTCATTCGATTCCGGCCCAAACCGTCATCAGATATTATTGAAGGTGTTTTAACACTTGTTCGGACATACACTGTGCAGGTATTGTTACTCCAAGTGTATTGCGTATTGAATAACGAACTACTAGTAATAWCGTTGTTGTGAAATGCGATCTCTGATGGTGTTTYAACGAAAGATTTTTATGGAGCTGTCCACTGCCATCCACTCTGAGTATGAGTATGAGTCACAKKGKTCATCTCAACAAGTACTATTCATGACCCAGCTCAGCTTCTTCCAATCATCATTGCCAGGGCTCTTCACCCAAGTGCACCGAAATGTAAACTGCAGTTGGATGTCTGGCCTTGCCCTTTTTGCAGCTGTTGTTTGATGGTGGGAGACTTTGAGGATATCATCAATGTGCCAGAGAATGGTGCCGCATTCTTGCTTGCTAGTACTACTAGTAGTACTAGTACTACTAATTGTTAATCAACTACTTATTCATGACACACCAGTTGTAGTAGTAGGGATTCACCTTACTAAATGGTGAGATCTGTGCTTGATTTTATTCAGAACAGGAGCCCTGCATTGAGGGTCCTGTTGTAGTATACTAGTATTGCTTCCTCCCCTTGTGCTCTGCAATTAAGATCCACCTCCATCAGCCACAGATGGGTTTTCCCACTCTTACTGTCTGTCTGTACTACTAGTAGGAATGTCCTGGAAATACTATTGGCTGTGGCAACATCCTGTCCTTCACCAGTATCTATCATGCAGAAAAGGAACAGTCCTTGTACTGACAAGGTAGGGGGTGCTGTGTCCTCTATAGTATTTACACAGGTCCACTGTTTCCTCCCACCATCAGCACATCCTTGCCCCTTGATTTTGCCACATCTCTACTTCAAGAACATGAAATATGTAAGAGCTTTTGCCTTGTTCTGTTCTGGGGTGGGGTGGGGTCCCTTGCTGAGATCGGCTCAACGGGTTCTCTATCATGTAGCTTCTGCAGCTTAGTTTTAACCACAACATCTGGTCCAAAGATCTTTTCTGCAGCTTGTTTATCCTTGYCATGTGTTACTGGGCAGTTTGGTATTAGGTTACAAGCCAAACCACCTCTTTGGTAGAAATATTGAGCATCTCCTGCATCTTCTGAGCTTTCTCTGCTCTTCATTAATCTAGTGGGGAGTGTGAGCCTAAATCACGAGTAGATAGTGAATAAGCTCACTCTTTATTGTAAACACGTAGTTATACAGCACTAAAGAGCACACATACATTTTGCAGGTTATGAGCAATATAGTGAATCCTCTATATGATCTACTATATAATAGTAGATTTGACTCATTTGAGTCTTTAGATTCTGCAAGTGCGGGGTGGTGTGAGCCTAAATCACAAGTAGATAGTGAATAAGCTCACTCTTTATTGTAAACACGTACTAGTTATACGGCACTAAAGTGCACACGTACATTTTGCAGGGAGTACTTTTCCTTGTTTACTTCCAGTGTGTTGATGGATAGTTTTACAAAGAGTGTTGAATGTACATCCAGTGCTGCTATTTTTTGTAAGCGGCTCTATATAGCCCCTTTGTCACCTGCTTAAACTTGTGATACTTTGTCCCAGAATGGTTGTACATCCAGAATACATTGTCAAGTGCACTGTCAAAGGTCACCCATTGAGTATTCATAATTTTGGACAATGAGAGAATGTTAGCTATTCCTTGCTTGTGGTASCACACAGTTCCCACTCCTGAAAAAAACYTGACTGTCTTRRTGGCAAAATATTTAAATTGTACAAGTAGATAGTACATTTTTTTCTCCACCACCAACTCTATATGATACATTGTCTTTTTGGCCTCTTTGATATTCCTAAGCAGTGCTGGGTTGCTGGATTGCTGGGTTTCAGATAACATTCACTGTTAATTGATTATCAAGGAGCAGCCAGTTGATGTCAACCTTGCCCCTCACCTGACTGGGGATGCTGTTGTAGTTGACATTGCCCCTAGCCTGTTTGAACAAGAAGCTCTGGCATTCAACTGTGGTCAGTGGGAGTACTGTTCCTTTTTTACAAAAGGCCATTTCATAGTTTGGCTTGTCCTTGGCAAAGGTGACTGATGTGCCCAGGTTGACATTGACTATGAATGTAGTCTTACTCTTGTCAACAATTGACCCAATATGTTCCTTGTCTTCTGCACTGTTGCTTTGTTGTCCAGAATTTCCTTTGTTTCCAGACTCCTGTATTGCTGGTAAGCTTTTGCATCTATTTGCTTGTTTGCATATATTATCATATGAGTAGTGTCCTGTCTTACCACACCAATAGCATTTCACTGTGCTTTGGTCCCTTTGTCCTCTTTGTGTAGTATTGTTATTGTATTGTGCAAACATGAATCCGTCACTGCTGGGATGGTGTGTGGCTCAGTTCTTGTCAGWAGTTGACCTGCAGGTTCTGTGCCTCTGCTAGGAAGGTCTCACAGCAATAGTAGTTATCGYGCTTCATTAAAAAGTCATTCTCTAGCTTCTGCTTTAAATTGGCATAGCGGCTGTGTTTGGCATTCTCAAGTTACAGTGTTGCCTGCATGATAAGGTCACTGCTGGCTTTTTTTAGCCTTCTTGCCCTCTTTGTTGTCTTCTAGGCTTGTACTAGGATCCCTTTCATAAATTTTATCAATAATGATGTACTGGTATATTCCATTGATATACATGTTCCCCTCCAGACAGTTGCTGCTGTTGCAAACCATTCCATCTCCATAGTACTAATTGGGTCACCTTGTGTTGTAGTAGTCTTCTACATGATTGAAATCATAGCTTGGATGGCAGCAAGTGATTGGAATTGTTGAGCTCCATAGCTGTAACAGATCTTGTTTATGATGATCAGTAACCATATGGCTTCTGAATTGTCCTCCACTTATTGATAGTTCTCATCCGCACTGATTGTCTACAGCATAGCATTCTTGCTGGTGCATTACTGCTATCTGGTGTGTATGCTACTACCACCAGTAGTAGTAGTACTTTACATCTTTTTCATGCCATTGTCATATTTCAACAGTTATAGTATGCCTCTTGGCCAGCTCCTTGGTCACAATGAGCTCAATCTCATCCATAGCTTGAATATCTGCTGGTGACATGTTGGCAAATGCTGGACTGTTTGCTTTGATGATGTTGAGGACACTACTAGCCACCATATCAACATAGGCCAAACGGACCTCCTCAGCTCTGGTGCATGTTCTCCTAGGATACTCCACCAATTCTTTCTTGGTCAGCATAGTGTATCTGACAGCTTGTGTTGTCCCACTTCTAAAATGTGACTGGTCAGCTGGTCACATCTCCCTTTAAATGAGGTTTTGGTTTATTCTTGGTGGTGGTCTTCTCAGGGATCCTTCTTCGTCTTTGTTGGTTCTTATTGTTGTTCCTTCTTTTTCTAGTAGTATTGCTGCCTGCATGGTGTCTGTRCATGTTCTTCGGCAGGGATGGGTTGGTTCATGATTGTCGCACAGGTGGTGAGCTGGTCTCGATCACCCTCTGCACAGCTTGTTTTCCACCATTGCAACAGCAGTGTCTTCTTTTGCTAGCCAATTTCATTTGCGTCTTATGTCTGGGTCGAAACACTAACCCTAATGTGAATGCGATGGCTTGTACAGTACTAGAAGTACTAAGTAACCTCKTGAAAGCGCAACGGAGACCATGCTCGAGAAGAAAAGATTCACGGTGTATCTGCAGAAGCTCATATTTATCGCTAGATTCCTGTGAGCAGGAGTGGAAAGCCGACAAGCCGACACGGTTCATAGCCACCGACAATCGAAAAACTACCGACCATGCCAAATCCTGTGTTAGTTGCCGCCGTGGAGGGAGGAGGGACTTCCTTTGTTGTAGCGGTCGCCGAGATCAATATGCAGAGCAACAACACACAGATTCTCCATCGGGCCGAAATCGATAGCAGTCACGATGACCCAAATCGCACCCTGGAAGAATGCGCTTCGTTCTTTCGAAATCACAAAAACATCAGCGAGGATGGCTATCGTGCACTCGGGGTAGCTATGTTTGGACCTCTCGGTTGCAACGCCGAACGCAAGGAGCACTACGGCAGGATATTGCCAACGACGCCCAAAAAGAGCTGGAGAGGCGTCGACATTTTGACTCCGTTGGTCAAAGCCTGCGAGTCAGAAGGCGAACGTGGGAGAAAAATAGCCGTGAAGATTGATACGGAYGTCAATGCTCCGGCGGTGGCAGAGTACCTAGCAATCAAAGCAGATCCGACTGCAACGTCGAATCCTATATCCTCTCTGGCCTACGTGACGATAGGAACAGGGGTAGGGGTCGGATTGGTCATACACGGGCAGCCCATACACGGAAAAATGCACCCCGAGGGAGGCCACGTTCCAGTGCAGCCCCTTGAGGGAGATAACTTTACGGGATACTCCTGGGGGGCCAACAGCAAGAATCCCTTCCGCGGAAAACACACCGTCGAAAGCATGACCTCGAGTGTGGCCCTTGCGGAACGTTTGGAACAACTCCAGGGCGAAGAAGGAAACTCGTCCACTAACCAGCAGAATCTGAACCGATCTTGTCTTGCCGATCTCAAAGACGATGACCACGAGGTGTGGAGCCATGCCGCAAACGCCCTGGCCAACTTGTGCGTGACACTGGCATTGGTAACGTCAGTAGAAAAAATCGTCTTGGGYGGTGGAGTAATGAACCGAAACGGATTGATCGAAAAGGTTCGCCAACAAACCCGGTTTCTCTTGAACGGTTACCTGGGAGACCTGACGGACGCGGATCTTTCGGAATGGATTACATCGAGTAGCTACGGTTCCGACGTAGGGCTCATGGGGGCACTGGTATTGGCCCAGCAAGCCATTGCCGAAGAAGCCGAAAGAGAAAAGGCCACCGTGGTCCCAATCAAGAAATTGAAACAGATTGCGTACGGTGCTGGATTGTGGCATGGCTTTGGACTGGGTCTTTCGGCAGCATATATTGGAATTTGTCTATGGGCTCGTTCTGGAAAGTCTTCAAGTCGTCGATAAGCCATATTGAACTAAGCGAAATTTAGAGTGAAACAAAACGTCAAATGTCATTATACTGGATTGTCTTGTGTGGTAGGAATTCCTTGGGAACTTAGACTTTTTCTATAGCAACCATTTCTTTGCACTTTGATACCAGCTATTGAAACCTCGMCCTTCATTTCACGATTTTTAGCCCTTTGGGATTTTTTTATGGAAATAAACCATCATCATACGACACAACAACATTATAGAGTTATAACTAGTATTTAATTTAGTTGTAAACACCACAATCAAAGAAGGCGACTTTGAGTCTCAGATCGGCAGGAAGATATATAAATTAGTAAACAAGAATTCCTCTATGAGATCCGATTCAATCACCTGAGTAGGAGAATCCCGAACATTGCCAACCCCACCGTTGCCGCCGATGCGACGGTGATCGCGAATCGGCTCTTCGAACACAGCCACCGACGGTTGGCTCGTTCCATCAAGCCATTCCATAATCGTACTTGCGAAAGCGCGAGAACAATCTTCAGCGCATGGATTTGAATATAGGCAACAATTGCCGGTGCCATCGTCGTTTCAGCCAGTTTTGTTACGGCCGGTTTCAATATTTGCCCTGCTGCCATTAAGTGCTGTGTTTGTGGCGGAGTAATTCTTAGTAGTGCGAACAGCACGGATCGAAACAAACGATACACGGCATATGCTGGACCATAGGCGTTTCGCAACATGACAATGTCTCGGATTTGTTGAAACTTCCACATGGCGAGAGCAGAATATAGGCAGTCTACCAACACGTATCCCAGTATGAATGCTGGGCCATGCCTTCGTGCGAGTGATTGAATACGGCGTCGAAGACCTGTGTTGTCGGAACYAGTGCCATTTCCTGCGTCAGTACCGACACCATTCGACTGTTTGCCGTTGTTGTTGCCACCGATTTGCCCAAGCGTCCAGAGATTTGGCATCACCATCCAGTCCCCGTCGGGCCTATCAGTCCTTTTGAATCGTGGACCCCATGCACCGTAGCTCATCTTTTGCTCTCGTTCCCTTTCCATCTTTCGGATAGCGGCGTACTCCGCTCGACTCATGCCAGATGGAACATAACCTGATGTCTTCGAATTCGTCGCAGCAGAATTATTGGAATCGCCACCATCATTCCGCCGTCCACTGCGTTGGAAAAAGTTGTATCCAGGAGGTATTAAGATCTTCTTTTCGGCATTATTGTTGTCGACCCCATCGCCATTCATCTGTCTTCGGAATTTCGTCGACAGGCACAGCGAAGAGGCGCTGGAACAGGAATGGCGCAACTGCCATCCTGTTGCGGTTGTAGACAGTGAAAAGGGATGCACTTCCTGAAATGGATTGAAGATTATGAATGACAACAGCAAAATGATAATATTCATCTCTTTCACGTTTCTTACACGGAATGTATTGCAATATGTTCTGTTTTTTCTGGTCCACATCTTCACAGAATTTCAATTTCATGAATCGGTGAAGATATCTCAACTTTGATTTATTCGAACCCTAGATTAGCGTTGAAAGCTTCGACCTTCTTGAGACCATCCACGGTTCGACTTGTGTTTCTCGATGACTAACTTTACGTTATCGGAGGGTACAAGACTATCATACCGTCGTCGACAGAAGAGTTCTGTTCTGACATGGGTATCTTACGAATAGGAGGCAGCAGATGCAATTTTACCGAGGAACGGGGAGAACGATGATGCCTTCCATTATTAATTAAGGTACAACGTACGACTATGTCTTCGAAACCCATTTCTTTGTTTTTTTTAGCACGAAATTTATGGCGATCATCTTTCATCTTCAATCTTTGCTTGTTGGTTGTGACACGTCACGAAATCTGGCCCAGAAACTGCCATTACCATTTTAGTGCTAGTAGTACGAGTACCGTACAGTACTRCTTCGTACTACTGAAGAAGTACTTCTTAATAAAAACTGTGCGTGCTACTAGTARAGGACCTGTTTAGAACTTCCGTGTTAGGCTTGGAAGCAAAGAAGACAGGAAACCCTTGAGGATTCCATTGACATGCTCATGGACAGTAGTACTTCTCTGGTGGTCACCCCTACTAGAATGAAAAGCTGCCACCAGTACTTGCACTACTAGTAGTAGTAGTACTAGTAGTAGTAGTACTAGTAGCTAGTAGTAGTAGGAAACCGCCAGCAGCAGCAGGGCTTCTTCTTCTTGGTGGTGGTGGTGGCTCACAGCAGCAATGCCGCCCCATAACCTGAACGGAACAGTTCTTTCTACAGAGGAGGTCTGCAACAGCAACCTCTAACTGAGATTCAACCTCCAGCTTTACCATCTCCTCCTGCAGAGGAGATGTCATGGCTGTAGTAGTGAACACCACTCAACCATCAAACATCATGCCACTATAGTAGTACAATGTTGAAGGGGAGGAGGCCTGATTGTCCAACAGCACAACATCACCATTTTCTGCAAAAGAATGGCACCACCAACTCTGTACTGAAGACTTTAAGTTGAGTCTCATGACTGATGAAACACTTATCCCAACCTATCAGCAGCTGCAACCTGTCCCAGGAAGTTACTAATAGCAACAAGAATGAGGAACAAACTGTGCTGCCCACCACCAGCACAATCTCAGAGGTGACATCACTGCGCATTCTTGCTTCTGCTGGTGGAAACACAGCACCACTRGTGCTGTCTTTGACATTTGTATTATTGACACTACTAATTCCTTGTGCAACAAACACAGTACCACCGGGGGGGGCTTAGTCAGAGTCCCTCCTAGGACTGGAGCAACCTGCACCCTATACACTAGTACATACTACTACTATATACTACAAAGTAGTACATATTACATACTACATACTACATACTACTGCATACTATAATACCTACACAAGGTACGAGAGTACTGACAAGCATCAAGAATAGCTTTCATCATGATTGCGATTGTGACATGATATGTCACTAGTAGATCAGAATTGTTAGAACACCGATTACATACCAACAAGATCTTCATGGGATAGGATATGTCTAAAATGCTTGACGTCACCCCCAACACAAGATAGCATGTGAAAAGATTGTTGACACTTTAAATACCAAATAAGATTATAATTCATTTTCAATACTAGTAGTACCCTTTTAATCCTACTTCTTGCACCTACTACTACAGTAGGAAAGAGGGATCCATCATCAGCAGTGTTTCAGTTCCAGGAGAAGGCTAGTAAAAATCAGTACAAGCAACAACACCTGTTTTCAGGCTCACTGTCSCTTCATTCCACTTGTTTATTTGATTAATGGGGTGTAATAGGGATTTGAGGCAACTGCAGCTCAAAAGCAGCTTGCCTCCTCTAGGCTGGCCTCCTCAAACAAGTAGGGAAAGCACTAGTACTCACAGGTATGTGGCCTTGTTAGGTCAGGATTTGGTTTTAATTTTGTTGTGAGGGCCACAAGCAGGCAGATGCTGGTGAGGAACCTGCTGCAATGCCTGTTTAAAATTCAATCAGCCCCTTGATTGGATTTCACACCACTCACCAGGTGTTCTTCACCGGGTCTACTACTCAGAGTACTACTACTACTAGCTACTACTAGCTACTACTACTATTACTACTACTATTACTACTACTATTACTATTACTACTACTACTACTACTACTACTAGTACTAGTACTACTACTACTAAGCAATAGTTCAAACTTGTGGAGCTTGCTTCTTGTTTTCCCTCTCTGTTTTTGATTGTAGTTTCATGCACTACAGTTGTGTGGTGCACTTGACAACAACAAAACTTTTGTACTCTACTACCCAATATCATTGTCAAATACCACCTGTGACAAGTGCAGGGAACCCACCAGCACTGAGCACTGAGCACTACTGAGCACTACTGAGCACTACTGAGCACTGAACAGCACCCAGCACCACCCAGCACCCAGCACTCGCCCCCAACATTGAGTGCTGAGTACTGAGCACTGGGGAGCACTCAGGAGCAATCAGGAGCACTAGGGAGCACTGGGGAGCATTATGGAGGAGGAGGAGGAGCACTGAGCACCACTGAACACCCCCAGCAGCAGAGGAAGGAGTCCCCCACCATCATCAGTACAAAAACACTGATCCGAAACTTCTCCATAATATCAAAMAAAAAGCATCTTCACTCTGCAAAGTGTCTTTTTCATTCATACCGAAAGGCTTACCGGTAGGTAGATAGACAGTTGATGCAATAACGATTGCCCTTGTACGGTACTCCCGATAAATTGCTGTTAGTACCGTTTGATACCGGTACGATGGGGGGTTCGTTCTTATCGGACTTGTGATTCAAAAAAACAATTGTTTTGTTTCATAACTCCCTCATACTCGAACGCAACCTCTTACCATTGCTGTTGTCTTAAAGCAATTGAACAATACATACACGAAAGGGGAACACTTCAGCGAGGCGGAGGACGGTTATGAAAATACCTCGAGTGTGAGAAGGGCTCTCAACTACTGCACAAACATTTATGACCGACGGACGCAACATAATAGGATAATACGAAAGAGATGAATCGTAACGAGTATAAAAATCGACAAGCCCTGTTTTCTAGGAAGACGAAGAAAACCAAAAGCAGCAGCACCGCTTCGGAAGCTCAGAGAATACAAAAGTCCTTATTGAAAACGCAGAACTTGCTCAAGAACGAGCTGAATCGGGTGTCGAATATTTCAACCGCGATCGACGAAGATGGGGATATYCTCCAACAAACAATGGACCACCACAAATCGTTGAATACCAAGAACGCCCAGCAAGCTCTGACGGCACTGCAACGGGCACAGGCGCATGAACAAAGGGTTTTGAATGCCTCGATTTTTGTATTCGGGACCGTCGTGTTCTACATCATGTGGAGTCGCGTTCTAATAAAATTCGATTTTATATCTGTTGTACTCGATTGGGTAGTTTAGAGGGTATTGGAGAATTAATGGTTTGGCATGGACCAATTCCGAAGTCTACAATATAGCATATTAAAACAAAATGGGATTGATTTCATTTGAGAACTACTTTCAACATCGTAGTTGACGACCAGTTTTCTTAGGATCGTTCATTGTACGATTAATGTTCGAAGTTGTCTTTCAAAAAACAAAGTCCTTTGTTTACTCCAAGGTTTCGTATTTCGGATATTTGACTCCGGGGTAATCCGAGTCGTATTGATTGGTAGGCATTCCCAAGGCTCGTCGAAGGGGGACAACCGTTACTGGCAAAGTGACTCCGACCGTAAATAGAAAGCAAGACATTGCAGGAATTGGGTGGCGATGGATGAATCCTCTGGCCCATCCTTTCGGCATGGAGCCTTGGAGAATTCCAACACAGCCAACAAGAGTTGACAGCACCCCGATTTCGTGACCTTCCCACCGTACCATTATTTCGTTTATCGATATGGACAGAAACCTGAACAAGCTGTGCAMTTAAATAGAACCGAACAAAAGATGAGAGAAAATACAGATGAGCAAGCGCAGCGGATAGTGATGCAACTGTTGTTTTCAGTCAAGGACATCACGTTTGTTATAGCCCTCTAACTTGTTYCAAWCCGGCCCAGAGCGCATCACAAATACACACTCCTTGCCTCCGTCGGTTTCCCATGGAATTAATCACTTCGTAAAGGTAGTACACATACCTATTCAACTACTTGTTGATGACAAAGTACAACGCACGAGTCTACTGCAGAGAGCTTTGTTCCGATGGTTCTTCGTCGGGGGAGTTTAGTGTTGTTAACGACAACATGAACTTCGGCTGCGCATTAACAACCCTCTTATGCGCGGCAGCGAGTTCGAGTGCGAGTGTCTCGTCCCCTACGTTACCAAGTGTATGATACAGTACCGTACCAGGAACGTCGACAGGAAGGCCGTTACGTACGAGTACGTACTGTACTCAATGGTATCTCGTACAGTACTTCGGACTCTGCGTACCGTATCGTAGGTCTTCTGCTTTTTCACATTTGGGGGAGCTTCGCCGAAAGAGTGCTTTTAGGTACAAAATTTCTAATCAGAGCTCGGACCTCCATTGGCTTGGCCCTTCTCTACTCAAAATGCCTGATTCCCCCTAATGTTAAAAACAAAACAAAAAATAATAATGGTACATTACCTGTACCGATACTATGGAACGATACTTTGTATTGTTYATTTTCATTTGCAGATTTTTGTTTTTTAAGTCTTCGGACACTCGAACGTTATTTCGCATTCGCGTAACTAGTACTATCACGTGTGAAGAAACAGATAGCGTAAATTAGTGCTGTGCGTGTGTATCTAAAGGATTTTGTGCTTCCGAAGGGTTACAATCTGCTTACTCGAGTAGCAGAGGCATTAACAGTAACGAGTACAAACCGAGCACGAATTGCAGCAGTGGTATCACGGCATCTTTAAATAAAGCTATCTGCTGACACTGTAGCAAAAACAGCGGCGCAAACGAACGCACAAAAGCACTTCCATGAGTGAAGCTGAAAGTGATTCCAAGTTGGCAGCCGCCAACACCATCGATAACAGTGGTGCTGAAAACGTGTCAGGTGAAGATAGAGACTTGGTGGAAAGAGTAGTCGCAAAAAATGAATCCTCTGTTGGTGAGAACGTCTCTGTCCTCGGCTCGACGGATCAGAAGTTGGATTGGGTTTTGACAAACTACGACAAGAAAAATTCCGAGCCCCAGTCACTCGAAGAAGAACTCAAGCGCCTCCAGGCTCTTCGTTCATATCTGCTACTTGACAGCGAGCGAGAGGAGCAATTCGAACGACTAACTGCTCTTGCGAGTCGTGTTATGGATGTCCCGATTGCCTTAGTGAGTTTGGTCGATCTTGGTAGACAATGGTTCATGTCAAATCGCGGTCTGGGTGATGTCAGAGAGACACCCCGAAGTTCCGCCTTTTGCAGTCACGCCATTCTTAGCAAGAATGAAATACTTATCATCAAGGACGCAAAAAAAGATCCTAGATTTGTCAAAAATCCTTTGGTTACGGGACCTCCCTTCATCCGATTTTATGCGGGAGCTCCCTTGGAAACACCAGAGGGATACAAACTCGGGACCTTTTGTATCATTGACACTAAGCCATGGCCCGACGGATTGGACTTAGATGGCAAACAAAATCTGCGGGAGTTTGCAGGGCTAGCTGTCGAAGTCATGATCTCGAGGAAGAAGCGCCGAGAACGCGAAGAGGAAAAAAACTCACAGATGATTGCCTGTGCGGCTCATGATCTATTGACACCACTCTCSGGAATCGAGTTGAGCTTGCACTTACTCAAGGAAGACGAGGACTTCCAATCGAAGATAGCTCGGAAGCACAAAGGGAAAATGATGAAAGTGGAAACTTGCTCTGGAATCATTCAGGAGATTTGCCATAGTGTTCGTACAACTTACGCAGAGACAAAGAGCTCCTTTGAACAGTCCCTGATGACGGCAAAACAGGAACGAGTGAAGATAAGCACTGTTATCGATAAGCTCTACACAGCGATTGAACCGCTGAAAACAGATGTGTTGRTCACAATCAAGGCCGATCCAGACTTATCTAAAGAAATCATTTCTGATCCATCGAAACTCWTCCGGTGCGCACTGAACTACTTAGTAATTGCATGCAAACGTACCAAGAAAGGGCAGATTACCTTGACTCTATTCTCGAAGGAAAAGCCTGGTACCGATAAAAAATCTATTCTTTTTGTAAAATGCGAGGATACCGCCCCTGCAATTGACGTAGATGTCTACGAACATTTGTTCAGACCGCCTTCGAATGATGTCGCTCTTTTTGAAGAGTCGAAATATGTTGACAGCGAAAAGAGAGAGCAGAATTTGGATCTTTGCCTGTTTTCAGTGGCGAGCGARATGAATGTGATTGGCGGAGAATATGGCTTTCGACCCAGGTCTGACGAAGATGACAATGGTTGCGAAGCTTATGATAAAGAGATTGGAAGTGTTACTGGCTCAGTTTTCTGGTTTTGTGTTCCGTGTATGGAATTGGAAGACGATCCTAATGCTGAATCTGAAGAAGACGATAATAAACAATCTTCAGTGTCCGAAGATGATGYCATAGCGGTTGAAAAATCAGTGAAGGATGATTTAAGGTCRGAAGACGATTCAAAAGTGACAAGAAAAAGACGCGCGCTTGTGATTGAAGATTCAGCTATCATTCGAACCATGCTGTGCAAGATTCTTGCAAAACTTGGTTTTGAGGTGTCCGAGGCAGAGAATGGGATGCAGGGGCTGGAAAAATTGAAGAGTACATTGTACGATTTGACTCTCATTGACTTTTTGATGCCAATCATGGATGGATTGGATTGCATGCAGCAATATCGGAATTGGGAARGCTACCACAGACCGTGGATGACACAGCGAATAATTGGGATTTCAGCACATGCAACACAAGAAGATGTAGAGAAGGGACTGAAAATCGGAATGGACGATTATAGAGCGAAGCCAATCACTGCCAAGGTCCTTTCAGATCTCATCAAATGCGACCAACAAGTAGAAACGAGCCGTCGTCTGGACGAGTTAGAACGCCGTGAAGCCTTGATCAAGAATGCCGACAAACCAAGCGAGGACACTGAAACAAAGAAAAAGAAACACGAAATTGACGGGAGAGCTTGCACTCTGTTGATGATTTCGCCGAGAAGCGAAGAAGAGCACACGAAACAGATACAAGAAGTGGTCAAGAGTTGTGGGTGGCAGACCACAACGGCGTCTACAGAACGCGAAGCTTTAGTTTGGTTAAAGATGAGAACGTGGGATCTTGTGCTTGTTGATGAGACGCTGGGTCCAGCAATCGGCGATTTCAGAGAATGGGAATCAAAAAAGCGACAAAATCTTCAAGAGCGAATAACACTGATGATGGAAAAAGTGGATGAATTAAAGGGTGAACCCCCGAAAGGTTTGGATGCACTTGCCGGCAAACCCATGGCCTTGACTGCGGTGGAAAGTTTGCTAGAGAGGACGTACTTGCATCTCGCTGGAACTCGAGGGAAATAAGTTTGACAACAAAATGTGATAGGTCTAGGTATTTTTGTTAGATGATCGCTTCAATAATACAGTAACCTGTTTTGATGCGATAGGTTCTCTACTTTTTAATACCATGATTGCTCTTGAAAGAATGCTTGAACGCTGTGGGTCCTAGATATGTTTCGATAGCTTATGGAACGCAAAACAAGGAATMTCCTATATTTTTGTGGAAAAAATTATACCAGCCCTCAATGAGACCGGTACGGAACAATATTCCTGGCCTTCATAGTGCCGCTCCTGGTTCACAAGAATGTACATGATGTTTTCTTACATTCTACAGGAATAGCCCTAGCGTCATAAATAATAAACAGAAGAGGCAGTGCTGTGAATACTGTTGAAATCCAAATTTTGAAATCTGAAATACCACCACGATTGTGTACAACACGCAACTGTAGAGTCCATACGAATGCGGAATGACCACGAGTTGCATCCAGAGCCCTACAGCAGGAATAGCGTATCGAAGAACATCCGAAGGTGTAGCATCTTGTACAGGGAGGAATCTTCTCTCTTCCACAGCCGCATSCCCTTTCTTGACATCTTCTAGAAAAGATAAGGAAGACCAAAGAAAGTTTACAAGCATCGCCCCTAGAAACATGTCGACACTGTAGTGAAAGCCCTCGTAAATTTCGACAAAATAATCCAATGTAACGGACATCCATATTGCAGTTGTGAACAAGGGTTTTCCAACAATACTAGTTATTACACATGCAATGGTGGAAGTCACGGTTGCATGACCCGAAATAATTAGATCGTTGCAACCCCCATCAATTTGAGGAATCAATCCGACCTTGAGCCAGGAATACCAATCCTTGGGGGGCATGGGAAAGTGGCTGAAGAAACATTGAGGATTTTGACTTGGAAGAACGGTGATGAGAAAGCTAAATGTTCGGATGGAGCGTGCCGCAGCAAGCGTCAAAACACCTCGCATTGCCATGGACCACAAATTTCGTTGCATAGAGGGTCCCTGTAGCTCAATGGCTACCAAAGAAAGGGCAAGTCCCGACACGAGAATTGCCTCGACGTTGATAATGTTTCGGACCTTGACAACGTCTCGTTTCGTGATATTCAAAAGCTCGTGGAATAGATACTGGAGTGAAATCTGTCCGTTGTCTTGGAGGGGAGTAGGAAGTGTGCTCAGGTTTTGACTCGGCTTGTAGGTTGCCGAAACGACCCAGATAAAAAAGTTTTCCGTCAAGAGAACAGCAATTACTAAAAATACTGAGAATACAGCCTTGAGCTGACCAGACATTTCTTTTTTTTTGGGTTGCGACTGATTGCCCTTCGTGTCTGTCCCAGTATCACTTTTGTTCTTGGCCTTCTCTTCCTCTATTGGTCTAGAAGCCAGTCCAAATAGTACAATTCCAGTAGCCGCCATGGCGTAACTGATAAAGATAGGAAGCTGACTAGCAAATACTGTCGCTGCCACCGTAAGAGGAATATATCTCTGGTGCGGCAAATCTTTCGTTGGATTTCCMGAGATTCCCATACCCACCGCCAATGTGAGCAGCATAGGAAGAGTCGCAACAAAGGCTGACACGATGACCGTCAAAAGGTGGCCGACTGATCGAATCCCTGACTTCCTRATAACAGCCAGTTGTACTGTGACTTCCAGAACAGCCAAACCGAGGAAAACTATGGACCGAGGGGGATTCGGCAAAAAACCACTGCCCAAATGGCCATCCCCTGTTTTCATGCTCCCCTCTCGACCGTCTTTGTCCGAAGGAGACGACGGCGGTGACGAGGATGATTCGGCCTTGGTAGTTCCAGCGGCGTGCCGACGGTGCAACGGCATCATCGGAGCAACACGGGTTGTGTCCCACAAGTTATAAACTGGAAAGCTACCGTATGTAACAACTTTCTGTCAATTGATGGAATAGACCGAGTGTGATGGATGTTGTGCGCTTCCAGAAAGACTACGACTCGCGTTACTACTTTCGTCTCCAATAGCGGAGAGAAAAAAAAATTCCGAGACGGCACTGAATTTTGGTGCCGTTAGGATTACAATTGGGTATTGCTAGGGGTCTACGTATTACTACTACTGTGATGCTTGAATAGTCTGCTTAGACCGATGGGTCATTCCTGTTATTCTAAATTCTAAATATCTAAAGACCCTAAATCTCCAATCTCCTTATATATGGATCTAGAGTTTTTAGAATAATGGGAATCAAATTTCAAGGGACAGACAGCATGGAATGCTGGCCCGTTGCCAGTCTTTGTTGTTGTTGTTTTGGGAATTAAAAGTCTCAACTAGTACTACTAGTACTACTAGTACTAGTAGTACTAGTACTACTAGTAGTAGCAGCAGCAGCAGCAGCAGCAGCAGTAGGACTAGGAGTAGTAGTAGCACTAGCACTAGCAATAGCAATAGCAATAGCAATAGCAATAGCAATAGCAATAGGGAAGCAAAATCCTTGAGACAGATGTTGGAACAGGGGATGGGGATGATTTGAGGACAGTTTTCAAGAATCAAAGAATGGAGGTTTTTGGAAGAGCACGGAGAGGCAGAGGATGATCACTGTGAACTTGCTGATCAACTTATCACTTCCAGTGCAGCACCATAGGACACAACCAGATCTTTTCAGTCTTCATGATGAAGACACTTCCAGTTACTACCAAGAAGAAGGTGTCATACCAAAAAAGAGGACCTTCAAGGAGGAGGATTCTTCCATGTAGGATACAGACTATTGCTAGATGCAAACAACTTGTTTTGAGAGTRAATCCCATGGTTGACTGGTCACAGTCCCACAACAGACACTTTGCAACTCAATAGTAGACAAAGCGCTCACTAAATTAGGCCACTAATTGTGTGAACTCAAAATTTAGCAACACAACTCCTTGATTCATTTSTCTTATTTCTGGTCTATCAGAGGGAACAGTGACAGATGCATTTCTCCAGCATGCTTCTATATGATGCATTGATCCCATTTTGTTCTCTTCCAATTGACCAAGAACAATTCATCCTGCAAGCAAGAAAACCCCAGCTAAAAATGGAGGATACTGCTACAAGCAAGAAGTAGGAAAACAAGCAAACTGAGCAACTCAAAACACCATATTTTCTAGTCAAAGAACTACACAAAGATGTA